TCTGAATGTTAAACAACTTTCTCCCCCCCCCCCCCCCCCCCGCTAGTCCTCTGATGATGGTGAATACATGGGTACAAAAATTAGTTCAGCCCCCTCTATATCCCCACATTCTATTGTTTTTTGTCTTACCTCCATCCAGAAGATTACCGGGTCACAAGTGGGGATGGTTTCTGCTCGGAATATCAAAGAGGCCGGAGCTGTTATTGGCAGGGTTGCAAGGGCTTGTTCGGGTTGTTAGAACCTTGGCTGTAGGTGTGATGGTGCTATGGCAGTGACAGGTGCGGGGCTGGGAGCAGGACTCAGCATCGTAGTGCTGGGACTTCCTTGTTTTGGTGCATTTCCAGGTGTGATGTAGTGACAACATCCAGGCATTTCTAGTGACATCATCTTGGGCCCCACCCCCCTGTTGCAGCAGCAGGCAGGCGTGGCCAGCGGAGCTGGGACTGTGGGTGTGGTTTGTGGGCTGAGCCAACCAGCTCCAGGCAGGGGCAGTTCAGGCGTTTCCATGGTGACGATGGGTGTGGGCAGCTCCGGTGGTGAGGGGGCAGTCCCAGGAGCCACATGGAACTGCATCATGGTCACAGGATGCTCAGCCAAGATGGCGGTGTGGTCTGACCCAGCGCATCAGCCCCACAGCGTGGACACTGGGTGCTCTGGTGCTGCACAGCACCCCCACAGCGCGGGCACAGGGCGTTCTGGCACCACGCTGCATCCCCACAGCATGGGCACAGGGTTTTCAGCACCGCACAGCATCTTGGTGCGGGCGCACCTTCGCCTCTTGCTGTGGTTCCACCTGCTGCTGGGGCCCCACCGGCCACCGCAGCATTGCTGCCACTCAGAGCTCTGCCGCTCCCCTCTGTTGCACAGTGGAAACGCGCTGAGGCCCTGCCACATGGGGAGATTACGTAATCTGGCTCGTTGTTGCCTGACGCAGTTTGTCCATGCACCAGGGCACTGCCACATGCGGGGGTTGTGGAAAGCGGCTCACCAGGGAATGGTGCCGGCACAGGGGGCACATTCAGGGTGGCGCGGCCTCGCAGTACAGCAGAGCCCCACAGGGTGACCATTTCATCCAGCCACCTCCTCTGTGGGCTTGGAAGGGTGCCCAACTCCCCCACTAATTCCTCTGGCACCTGAAATAAATTGGGCAGGAGATCTTTCTCCTTTTTAATGCCTTTATTAAAGAGATTCAGCTCAGGTGGGGAGAAATCGACGGGTCGCGCCCACGCCGCCGCTGTCCCCAAGAGTGGCACGGAGGATTGCTTTCACATGGGAACTTGCAAAGTGCTAGCTTCCCTTAGAAGAAATGACAGACTAACAGAGCAGGCCTGATATTATGAGGCCTTTTTCTTATAATTTTTCCACCTTACTGCAAGACTCATCAAATCTAAAATAAGTTTCCAGGGCTTTATAACTTTTATTGCACTTTCATCACCTCTGGAAGCTGCTTGAATTATAAATTGGCCAGTTCGTGCCCAAGTATTCAAATCAAGGGCAGCCTCTTTAGTTGTGTCCAATCCGTGGTTCTTAGCCCATGTTAGTAAAGCTAACAATGCCTCTTCATCATAATCTACATCCCATTCCTCAAGAAGAAGTTTCCATACCTCCATAACTGGATGATCCTGCACAGAGACAAAGCCACCATTTCTTCCGTGGGGTTTTTCTTCTATTTTTCAGCCTTTTCAGCTTCTCTGGCTCCTATGCCATTTGGGGGCTTTTTTTCAGCTTTTTCAGCTTCTCTGGCTCCTATGCCATTTGGGGGCTTTTTTTCAGCTTTCCCAGCTTTTCTGGCTCCTATGCTGTTTTTGTCTCCCCTGCACCGTACACAGAGATGGCTGTGTCCTCACACAGGAGCACCACATATTACGTGAGGTCGTGGTCAGAGACAAACAAACGACATGAACTCCCCCAAGATCATGAGACAAACAACAGTGGTTTATTATGGAAGACTCTTTATATAGGGGGTTTGAAACTCCCAGGTTAAAACAGCTGATTGGTTGAGATCTCTCTCTGCTCAGATCTCTGGCCAGTGGTGTGCCTGCATCTAAGCTTGAACAGGGTTGGCTGAGGGTCCCCTGTATAGGTTTGAATCCAACCTATCGTACTGTGACAAAAAATCATGGATGTGTTTGGGGTTAAAAGGGATATGCCCAAGGCTACATGGTCTTCCTTTTAATATGCAATGGGATGGCAGGCCAAGCCCTATCCCCACAAATTAAAAATATTCCAGGAGGTAAAAGTAATGGAGCATTGGTTGAGCGAGAAATAATCCTGGATGTATAATTACACCAAGCGCTCGCATTTTTATACACAGGTTGATGAGAGGAAACATCCCAAGCCTTAGACTGATTTTTCCCAGAATAATTAAACTTTACACAAAGATCCATTTTCACTGAGCCCAGGAGTTCTAACTCTTGAGGCTCAAGGGACACCAGGGAAAATAAGGGGTCCATTGATCCCAGGCATCAGCATGATTGCTGTTTTGCAACATTGTATTTGCCTGAGTCAGGCAAGGCCAATTGTCTAAGGGCAGAACAGCAAGGCACGTTGAAAAAGGACTATCGGGGATGCAGTCGCCAAACACAATGTATCTTGTCCTGTAACATTTGCTAAGGTTACCCAAACATCTCTTTTAGGTTGGTTAACAGGCCATGTCTGAGCACTAGAAACAATTCCCAGTAAATACCATAGTATTCAGGAAGTCATCATTTATCCTTATTCTCAGTAGCAATAAGCCACTGCTTCAGAGTAATTTCCAATTGTTCAGGTAGACCAAACTTATACCCACACACTAATTGTTAAATTTGTGTGTTATTTCTGCTGTTTCTCATTGGATCACATTGACAGCAAGCACCTCACCTTTTATGAGATGTACAGTACCACAGTATCTATCCCATATTCAACACATTTGCATAGGTCAAACAGGTGCTGATGTGGTGGCGAGGTCCTGTTCACAAGGATTCTCTTTCGATGTTGGTGTTAAAGGTGAATCTTCTGGTGATACAGTCAAAGGTTCTGTAAACGGCTTCACATTATTTGCTGGAATCCGCTTGGGACCATTCTCTGTGGAGACACAAGGAAAACCTCTACTCCGGGTGACCAAAGGATAAGGCCCCAATATTTTACTGGATTCTGGATCCTTCACTAAAACAGGGGGTTTTTCCTTTTGTTGCAATTGTAAATTACAATTTAAAAGTCAAACAATTGGTGGGGTTGGGGTCCATCAAAGAACAATGCAAAGAGTTGAAAACATAAAGGGCTTTCTGCAGTCTCTCGGCAGGGGTGCCATCTCCGGTTCCCCCCTTCTGTTGACTTAAGAGATGCTTGAGGGAGCCACAAGCCCGTTAAATGATAGATTGGCCTGTTGGGGAATGAGGAATACTTGTTTTGTGCGTAATTCCCCATAAGGCAAAAAAGGTAGCAACTCTTGCCTGGCATAGAGGTGAGACTGACTGGGCTGTAGTACCCTGGGTCTTCTGCTTTTCCCTTTTTAAAAATGGGAATTATATTTCCTTTTTTCCACTTCTTGGGAAGTTTACCTGACTGCCACGATTTTTCAAAAATGATGGATAGTGGCTTAGCAACTTTGTCTGCCAGCTCCCTCAGGACCCATGAATGAATCTCATTTGGTTCCATGGACTTGTGCACATTCAGGTTCTTTATATGATCTTGAACCTGATATTTTTCTGCAGTGGGCTTAGGGGTCTTCATTCTCCCAGTCCCTTTCTTAACTTGGGGGGCTGTGGCTGGAGCACTTGCTGTTGAAGACTGAGGCATAGAAGTCATTGAGAAGCCTTGCAAAAATCAAAGCACTGAGAACTAAACATTGTAAAACTTAAGCTAAGTTCCTATCCATTCATCTAAGTCATGTTTAATAAGTCTGAAAGTGATATGAAAAAAGATGTTGAAAAATGTTGACTACAGAGTATGGATGGATTTTTGAATCCTAAACAATTTTGTCCTGTTAGCTATGAGACATCATCTCAGTTTAAAAGATAAACTTTTGAGTTTAATTGACTCCCTTAATTTTTCTAGTGATGTGCATGCAAAGAAAGAGGCCCACTGTAACAAATAATAACAAAATATTCAGTTATTCAGCTAGAGCTGTGCTTTATAATCATCTAGGAAAAACTTTTTCTATGTCTAAGTTAATTGCTTTCATATGATGCAAGTACATTTTGCTCAATTCAGTTGTGCTGAGGCATGTTCTCAGGCTCATACTGACTAGAGCTTGATCAATATAGCTGCTCTTAAATCTGTAGCAATTCTTTATGCTATAGAATAGGATACTTATAAAATTAGCATCATATCATATCCTTTGACTAGTTAAACAGCTTACTCTAGGCACACAAAATTATTTATTTCCGTATGATTGGACAATCTAAGTATTTGGTTCCTTCTATATATTTCCTTTTCACTCTTAGCCTATGGATACACTAGTAAAGAGGTATAGATCAACTCTTCTGTAGCCTTCCCTCAACTCTTTAAGGCTTGAAGAGACAGCAAGGAGGTTTTCTGAATGGAAAACTCATAGGCAGCTTGTTGGGGTGGGGAGCATGTGATTCAGTGTTCAAACATCTACTAAAAAAACTATTCAGTATCAAGATTTCTTTAATTTGTTAAGTATTCTTATGTATGTACTTGGGGAGGGGCAGCTTTGATTGGGTAGCATACATATTTCAGTTGAAAATATCTCAAAACTAAAATTGTTTTTCTTTTTACTGCCTCTAACTACAAACCCAATGCCAAAACCACAACTATTTATATAAAAAACTGGTTGACTTATACAAAGATATTATTCATGATCAGGTAGTTGAAACCCTTGGAGAAAAGAGGCATTTTTCACTCTCCTGCAAAATGTATAGCAAAATCTCGTGAAGGAGATGATTACTTTTCACTATGTCCTGTTGTGTTGCACAGAAGGGGACTTGTATTGACAACTGTTGATCTTTTTTGTATAGACTAAGAATAATTTTATTTTAAAAATAATTTAATAATAAAAAGGCTTGCTTTGCATATATATATATTCAGATTTTATTTTTAAATCTAGAGAACATGAATGGTTTAAGCAGGACCTTCCTAAGTACCTGTTTCCTGAAGACCCGTCATATAGTTCTACCATGGTTGATGATGAAGCCTTAAAAGAAGTGTGTGAGAAGTTTGAATGCACTGAAGAAGAAGTGCTAAGTTGTCTGTACAGCCAAAATCATCAGGACCCTTTAGTGGTTGCTTATCACCTCATTATAGATAATAGAAGAATAATGAATGAGGCCAAAGACTTCTACTTGGCTACAAGCCCACCGGATTCTTTTCTTGATGATCACAATCTGTCTCGACCTCATCCTGAAAGAGTGCCATTCTTAGTAGCTGAAGCACCACGTCCCCGCCATACTCTTGATGAGCTGAATCCACAGAAGTCAAAACACCAAGGTGTAAGAAGAGCGAAGTGGCACTTGGGAATACGGAGTCAGAGTAGACCAAATGATATCATGTCTGAAGTTTGTCGAGCAATTAAACAACTGGATTATGAATGGAAGGTAAAGAATAAAGGGTCTTTACAGCAGACAACAGTAATTTTTTTTGAGCTGTGTAATTACATAGCCTTGAAGTATGAAACTGTGTTCTCCTGTGCTGTGGAAAATAGTCTTGTGTGCCTGTACTGACTACTCGTGTTTGCTGTGCAGGAAGGGTTTGGGGAGGAAGGCTATTTATGCTGGCAGGAATAATCTTGCTAATGTGTTTAATCATTCTACTGGGGCTCTGGGAATATGTTGAGTAGGGTATTTTGTTTGAGGTTTTTTGGTGTGTTTTTGTTGGTAATAAAAACTCTGGCAGGTAAACCTGAAATCACTTAATAACATCAGTGACTTGAAATAAGCAAAACAATGTGCAGTGCTTCTAAAATAGTTCTAGTTACTAAGTCAAATCTCTTGTGTACTAGGTTGTAAATCCATACTATCTGCGTGTTCGAAGCAAGAATCCAGTGACAAGTGCATATTCCAAAATGAGTCTACAGTTGTATCAGGTGGATAGCAGGACGTACTTACTGGACTTCCGTAGCATTGATGGTATGTAAAGACTTACATAAGTCAATGGACTTGTAAGGGGAATAATTTTAAATGCAAACATGTCTTAACTTACTTGCTTATAAGTGATGTAAGTGTTGCCCTTCATTAGTTTAAGCCAAGCTAGAGCTGCATGAATGTTTCTTTATTCCTTCCTTGTCTAGTGTTCCTATGATGAGATGGTTTAATTCCTTAAATAATCACTTTTTAGCTATATCAACTCTCAAACTGCTCCATTTTGTGTCTGCACCAGCACTAATATTGCTGGTGCAAAAGGGGAAGATTGTTGGTGATGAGTTTTGAATGAATCTAAACTGGTTTTGTGGCCTCATCTCCAAATTTAAACTTTAATTTAGATCTGAAGTAAATATGGGAACATATTTTCCTAGTGAAGATAAAGCTTGGCATTTAGGCATGCAAATTTGACTTTAGCTGTACATTGTTGTACTGCATCTGGCTGAGATGGAGTTAACTTTCTTCATTGTAGCTGGTATGGTGCTGTGTTTTTGATCTGTGACTAAAACAGTGTTCTGGCTATTGCTGAACAGTACTTATATAGTATCTAGTCTTTCTGTTTTCTCACTGTGGTGCACCCAATGAGTAGGCTGGGGGTGAATAAGAAGGTTTATGGGGACGTAACCTGAACTGCTGACCTGGCTTGATCAAAATGATGTCATGCTATATGATGTCATGCTTAGCAAAAAATCTGAGTGGATGGGAGTTTGGGGAAGGTAGCCATTGTTCGGAGACTGGCTGCATGTTAGTATGCTTATAGGAGGTGGCATGTGGTTGCCTTTGCATGACTTTTTTTTCTTTCTTCCTCCATCTTAGTAAGCTGTTTATCTCAATCTATGAGTTTTCTTGCTTTTGTCTTTCCAATTCTCCTCCTCCATTGCACTAAGGGTAGGGTGGAGTGAATGAAGAGCTGGCTGGGGATTTAGCTGTCAGCAAAGTCCAACCCAACAATGCTAGGAGTAGACAAAATTTAAGATGGGCATACACTTGCAGTAAGTGAAGTCTTGAAAGCAGTTGGACAGATCTGTAGAAAAAAACTTTTATAGAGTGACAATATCACAGCATACAACTCTGTTGTGGTTTAAGCCCAGCTGGGAACTAAGCCTCACACAGCTGCTCCTTCACTTTCCCCTGGTAGAATGGGGGAGACAAAAGGGTAAAACTGAGAAAACTCATGGATTTAGATAGAGATAGTTTAATACAGAAAGCAAAAGCCACATGTGCAAGCAAAGAAAAACAAGAAATTTGGTCATTCCTTCCCATGGGCAGGCAGGTGTTCAGCCATTTTCATCATGCATAACAGTTAGTTGGGAAGACAAATGCCATCACTCCAAACATCCCCCACTTCCTTCTTCCCTCAGCTTTATATGCTGAGCATGATGTCATATGGTCTGGAATATCCCTTTCGTCAGTTGGAGTCAGCTGTCCCAGCTGTGTTCCCTCCCAACTTCTTGTGCATCCCCAGCCTACTTACTGGCGGGGCGGTATGAGAAGCAGAAAAGTCCTTGATGCTGTGCAAGCTCTGCTCAGCGATAACAAAAACATCCCTGTATTTTCACACACTGTTTCAGCACAAATCCAAACCATAGCCCAGTGCTTGCTACTAGGAAGAAAATTAACTATAACAGTGAAAATCAGCACAAACTGCAGGTCATACCTTCCTGAAAATGGAGGAGCAAATATAGACTGGCCATAATGCTTGTTTAAGAGCATAGTAGACTAAAGCAAATTATTTATAGCCAATAGTGTACATGATATGCCTAGGAAAACGTGTCATGGAAAAAAGATTTACTGGAATATTGCTGGATTACAGTACAGGATGGCTAAGGCTGTCTCATGACAGTTTAACCTGATCTGACTTGGCAATGCAATTCTTGCCTTGTCCCTTCTAACCATACTAGTGCTTGCTTAGATCTAGTAGTATTTGATACAGGGCATTAATCCCTTTCCTGCACTGACCTCTGTTGTAGCATAAGACAAATGCCATTCCTGTTGAAGGGAAGGTGACTGCTTAGAGCCATGCAGCTGGGGCAGCTGCAGTCCTGGCCTCAACTCTTGAGGAAATACAAGCCTAGGGCATGGATTTGGCATCTCTCTTCCAACAGTGAAGCTGATCTGACTTGCCCTCCACCACAGCTAGCCATTCTCAATCCCTCTTGCAAACTGCAGTTTAACGTAGCTTTGATGTGAAGACCCGATGTCTTCTGTGTTCACTAACTTCTCTTAGAAATAAGTTTTTCTGGTTACAGGTGTAAATCAAAACTAATGTTGAGTATTTAAAGTAAGAATAGAGATACTTCAGCAGAAAATTACCTTTAGTATGAGGTAGAAATGCTTCCATCTTAGAAGTAAACTTAAACTGTTGCAGCCCAAATGCATATTAAAGAGAAAAACTTCCAAAAATGAAGGATGTAGATGCTAGCATTTAATGCATCAATGAATTATAAGGAAATACAAAGTATGAATAACCAAATAGAAAGAAAGCAAATAAAATACTATCAAAAAGCATCTACACAATATTCAAATTGTTATTTGATTTAACCTTATGATGCTGTCATGTTTCTGTTTTAAGTTTAAGCTAAATCTATTTAACTATTGGCTGCTGAAACTACTTCATGAAAAATGCGGTGAGTGCTGGTCTAAACTAGATCAGATAGTCCTGGAGCACAATTCAAAGCACAAGAATAATTTGCATAAGGACATTTAATTCTGTTGCTATATGTATAAGCTTTAATTTTGTATCATCTACATACAGTTGCAAAAGCTGTTTATGTATTAATCAACATTTAAGAAAATCAAGACTGGAAGTGTGAAAAAGGGAAGTTTGCTGTTCTTATGATTAATTTTCCTCTTCTCTCCAATTGTCCCCCAGATGAAATTACTGAAGCAAAATCTGGGACTGCAACTCCACAGAGATCAGGTTCTGTGAGCAACTGTAGATCCTGTCAAAAAGATTCAGATGGTGATGCACAGGGAAAATCTGCAGATATGTCCCTTACATCATCAGTAACCTCTTTGATTGATTCTTCTAAGGCTGAATTAATTCCAAGACCAGGGAGTCATACAATAGAATTCTTTGAGATGTGTGCAAATCTTATTAAAATACTTGCACAATAAGTTTGAAAGTGGGCTTATTTCTTTTACAGCAATAAGCATGCCTAAATCATAGTCAGGTGCTTCCAGTTATAATCAAGTGAAATTAACTAAGGTGCTGAAAAAACTAGCCACAGAATGCAATTTTCAGGGGGATTGGAATGATTATAGGCCATTATGTATATTATTTTGAAGTTGGAGTGAATTCTGATTGTCCGCTGTCCAATAGCATAATACAGGTATAGGAAGTCACGTGCCCTTGTTCATAACACTTTACACTGATTGCACATTAGAATTCAAATACTTAAGTTATGCTGGCCTTCTTGCTTTTTTCACTGATAATACATACATCTAATGCACTGTAAGTAAATGTAGTTCAATAACTTAAGTATGACTTGATCAGCATCTATAGTTGTGCCTTAGTTGACCAGAATTGTCAACATCTAACAGTAATATATTAAAACTGCTGTTTCTTCCCTCTTATTTGACAGTAAATTATAAAGAATAGTTTAATGCATTATAATATACTGCTTTTAATAACAGATAAATATTATTAAATGCATGCAAATCCAACCAGGTGAAAATATATGTAGGGGCTTTGTAATGCACTAAGGGTGAAATTCTGTGGGCTGTAAGTAGAACAATTCAGGCCACAGCAGTGGTGAGAGGCTTAATGCTGAGAAGACTTGGCACCCTGTGGGCTGAAACAAAATGTGGTTCTGTGAAGGAGAACTGTCAGCAGGTTCCTGATCTGTGCAGATTTAGTAGCTCATATCCTAGTGTGGTAGCAGCACAGCAGTTCCCCATTGCTACTGCAGGCTGAGAATCCTGTTCCTTATAAACACATACATGTAAGGTAAAAGCACAGCTCTATGGCCTCTTGCATGCTATTCCAGAATCTAAAATTTTCACTTTTAAAAATATGTTCATACTTTGATACAGCTGTTTATATCATATACTACCTTGCCATATATTTTATAGAATTCACATTGCAGTTGAAAATACATATATAGGTTTAGGTTTTTCAAAGCAGCTTTTATAGTCAACTCTGCCATTTAAATTGTGGCGTTAATAGTCCAACTTTTCAGTTCAACATTTAAAACTGATCATGACAGCTTATCATATAATCATAGAATGGTTTGGGTTGGGAGGGACCTTAAAGATTACCTGCTTCTAACTCCCTGCCATGGGCAGGGACACCTTCCACTAGATCAGGTTACTTGTAGCCCCATCCAACCTGGCCTTGAACACTTCCAGGGATGGGGTGTCCACAACCTCTCTGGGCAACCTGTGCCTCACCACACTCATAGTAAAGAACTTCTTCCTAATATCTAACCTAAACTTGCTCTCCTTCAGCTTAAGGCCATTCCCTCTTCTCCTGTCACTGCATGCCTGTCCTGAATTGCCAAGCAAATTGTATTCTATTTGCCATCTGTATGGCAGTTGTCTTCTGTTAATTGGGCAGTTTTCCTTAACTCTTCCACAACCACTCCTCCCTCCAGGGAGACATCTGCTGATAATAGGCTATTGAATGTCACTGCATGACTGATAAGAACTATAGCATCACATTGTGAGATGCTCCGCCCAGAGGGAGGAGCCAAGCATTCCTACCCAGATATAATCTCACATTCTGGAACACCAGCACGGCTTTCTCCACTGGATTTCCCAGAGGAACAGCTGCCTCTTCCACTGGATCTTCAGAGGAAGACTACACCCTTTCTACAGGATCACTGCTCCAACAGAACCACACCTGACACTCCAGGAGGACTGCAGCCACAATTCCAATTGGACTGCTACCAACACCCTGACCAACAGGGTGTCAGGTTGTGTTCTGACTCTGTCAGTGTTGTTTTGGTTTACTGCATTGTTTATTTTATCCTTTTGTTTTCTTCCCTAATAAAGAACTGTTGTTCCTGCTCCCATATTTTTGCCTGAGAGCCCCTTAATTTCAAATTTATAACAATTCGGAGGGAGGGTGTTTATATTTTTCCATTTCAGGGGATGCTTCTGCCTTCCTTAGCAAGCACCTGTCTTTCCAAACCAAGACAATGCCCTTGTGAAAAGTCCCTCTCCATGTACCTTGTAGCCCCCCTTTAGGTACTGTAAGGCTGCAATAAGGTCACCCCAGAGCCTTCTCTTCTCCAGGCTGAACAGCCCTAAGTCTCTCAGCCTTTCTTCATAGGGAAGTGTTCCTGCCCTCCGATCCTCTTTGTGGCCTCCTCTGGGCTTGTTCTAAGAGGTCAATGTCTTTTCTTGTGTTGGGGGCCCCAGAGCTGGATGCAGGACTCCAGGTGGGATCTCACAAGAAGAGAGTAGAGGGGCAGAATCATCTCCCTCGACCAGCTGGGTATGCAGTGATAGGATAAGGAGTGTTGGAACCCAGGGCACAGGGAATATTTCTCTGCCTGTCCTGAGAAGTCCTGATCCCCAGGAGAACACTGCTTTTAAACTTCATCCATGGAGAAAGCTTCCAAGACTTTGGGATGAATTGGAATCTATGAGTGTGTGAAATAGATAGCAGTATAGTTTATCACAGGGTGAAAAACTTAGAGTTTTGGGTTTTTAATATGGAGGTAGATAGGAGACAAAATGGAGGATTTTGGGCATTTTCTGATCTCCTTCGTGTTCTTCATCTACTCCATTTTCTGCAGTGTTGGGAGCACAGGGTGATTGGTTAGAAAGGACTGCAATGCAGATGTTGCATGGACAGAAAAATAGTTATTGGTAGAAAGGTAGAAATAAAGTATGTTCTAAGAGTTAATTGGACAAAATAGCTTTAAAATACCTTGAATCTGTGTGTCTTGTGGCTTTTGGTGCCTTCTCTTTGTACGCTAAGTCTGAGATGTAGATGGCATACAGAGCTTCTGATAAGAGAAAAATAAACAACAACCTGAAGACCGAAAAAACCAAGATTCCCGTCTGTGTCTCATTCCTGGCACAGAACTTTTTAGGGGTCTCCCCATCAGGGGGACCCATGAGGGAGGTTTTGACAAGGAGGAATGGACTTAAGCTGAAGGAGAGCTTTATTATAAGGGTGGTGAGGCACTAGCACAGGTTGCCCACAGGTTGTGGATTCCCCACCCCTGGAAGTGTTCAAGGCTAGGTTGGATGGGGCTTGGAGCAATCTGGTCTAGTGGAAGGAGTCCCTGCCCATGGCAAGTGGGTTGGAAGTAGATGATCTTTAAGGTCCCTTCTGACCCCAGCCATTCTGTGATTCTTTATCGAGCTTCTCGTCCACAACCATCCTCAGTCCTCCCAGGGCTAGTTCTTGATTCATTTTACGCCCAGCCTTTACTTGTGCTTGGGATTCAAAAAGTTTTTAACAGTAGATTTCTGTTACCAATGTCATAAATCCTACCACAGTTAAGTTTTTTGCAATGTTTTCAGAACAAAATTGAACCTTAAATGTTAAAATCGTAGCTAATACTTGCACAAAACCATGTACTCTCTTGTAAACTGGATGTAATTATCCACAGTTCCATTTTCATCTAGCACTAATAGATGTAAACATTACACAATAAACTATGTCATAAAACATTTGCTTTCAACAATGAGCATTCTCTTCAAAGTCAACTTCATTACCTACTTTCTTTCAAAGATTGCTCTCCTGATTAGAGACTGGAAACAAGGCATTACTATGAACAGTAAAGTCTTGACCCTGAAAATGAATCTGAGTTATTGTCATTGTCTAGCTGAAAAATGCTAGTTACACCTATAAGAATAGTCTAATCCAGGCCAACTGGTTCCAGTTACAAATATGCACAGCACAGAATTTGAACAAACTTAAAGCTGCTTAAGCCCTGGAGCTGCCATAACTGTGTTCTGAACTGGGAAATGATGTAGTCTGCCTAATACGTAGGTACATGTTACAACTCCAGTTCTTTATCCTCAAGTGTCACACACTGTCCCCATAATGCAAGGTTGTATTACTGTATCCCAAAGTGGAAGATTTCTCTTAATGCTTTGGGTTTAAACTCCTGAGATTGAGATGTCAACATGAGACCAGTTTCCAATCCTACTTAAGTGGGGGTTTGTGTTATGTGGGGTCTTTTTAAGCCTTGTAACAAATGATTGTGATGTACTAAATAAATCAGTGTACTCATTTTTGTTACCCTTTTATTTTGAAGTTGGTAAATATTGTACAATATAAAAAATGCAGAGGGTTTTTTGCTTTTTTAATTGCAGTAATTTCTTATCTGGAATTGGTTTGGAATCACTGAAAGGGTCTCTTTGTGTATGTTAAGCTAAATATTTGTAAATGGTATCTAGTCCTGTTTTGCAAATTTGTAATGCTGACCACAGGTGCAAGGTGTCAAGGTGTGAATATTTTTTAATTTTATATGCTTTTTGGCACTCATGCATTAAGGCAAGCTTGGTTATTTTGTCTCAGTATCTGATAGTTGAAGAGAGTTTCTGGCAGAAGTGTACAGTATGTATAGCTTTATTTAAAGTAAATTTTATTGGTATGATAAATCAGTTTTGATGGACAAAAGTTTCCTGATGGAACAGAGTTGGGGTGGGGTTTGGGGTCTGTTTGTTTGTTTGTTTGTTTGTTGTGGGGGTTAGCTTATACAGTGGGGGGGAGGGAGAAATAATGCACTGGAGAGTCCAGAAGTGGAGCCCACTGGTTGAGATACCTGTGCAGGGAGGGTAATGCCTGAGAAAAAGACAGCAAATAATTTCTCACAATTCCCTCCCCATCTAAGTGCATTTGGTCCGTTTGATTTCCTGGCAGGATATGGTTTTCCATATTATACTTTGAAGGGACTTTCTCCCTCTCTAACCCATAGAGTTATCTTGATTCTCATCAATAAAACAGATAAAACCTCCACCTGTTTAGCATGTGTTTCCTGACATAATTTTGTGATTTGCCTCTTGAGAGTCTGTAGGAATATGGCCTACAGCCATGAGATATGCCATAAAATATGTGTTGAAGGGATTAATGTGAGCATGATAGCCTACTGATGGGGCTGATAGTTTGTCAGGCAGATGCTGGATGATCCTTATCCCTGCAACTGGCCAGGTGAAAGAAGAAGTGATACTAAGGCATCACAGTTCTGTTCCACCCTTGCACAAGATACAGAGCCTTTGTAATGTCTCTCTTTGTTACTTTTGATATCCCTAATTTACATATAAAGTGGCTTCCCTCCCCCATTTATGATGGCAGTAATGGGTTATTTGACTGCAGTCTTATCTCCACTTCTCCCAGGAATGAGAATATGACCACCTTGCAGACAAGTTGATGGGCTTTCTCCTCTCCTCAAAGCAGGGACACCTCTTTGGTAAGATTTGTGCATCTGACTATGTCGGAATATACCTGGGAACACTTTATTATAGTGTTATACACTTATATTTTGTAGATCTAGTGAATTTATCACCATCAATCTGAGAAGAATCTATAATCTGTTGCTTCAGTAAACCACACTACTTGTGAATCTGTGATTGTAGAAGTTCTTATTGAACACAACCAAATTTGTAGTGTTAAACTGGTATACTGCACTACTGGTGAATCTGAGATCAAGAATGAGACCAGACTTACAGTGTAACCCACACTATTTGTGTGTTTGGGATCTTATTAAATGTGACCAGACTTATAGTGCTGAATTGGTTCTAATCAGAAATTAAACCCAGCTGCACCCAGCCCCTCTGACCTATGAGGACTAGCTGGAACACAACAGGGTTTATTTTCTGCAAAATTTCTATCCCCTTAGCTCAAGAGTCTGATTAATTCTATTTTTCCACTTGATTGCAGTCTCCAGGAAGTGTGCAAATCCCATTTCATTCAGTGAAAATTTTATACATGCTGAACTACCTCTGAAATAAAATGGGGACCATTATCTGAGGATAGATTTTTGGGGATCCCAAACCTAGGAATTATTTCCTTTAGCAGAATTGTAGCAACCTCTCTAGCTTGACTGTTACGACATGGGAAAGCTTCTGGCCATCCTGAGAAGGTACCCCACTAAAATGAGCAGATATTGTTGCTGTTACTGTTCATTTTCTTTTCTCATTGCTGTTTCTGTTGCCCGAACAGAGACACAAAACTCGTAAGCTTTGTGCGGTGCTTTATTGAGGGCCCGGGAGTCTGGGGACCGCAGTCCCAAATCAGAGCTCCAACGCCACTGATACATCGATCTCCTTATATATGATATGTGTACGTGCAGTCCGTTACAGACTCTCTAAGCAACGACCCCCAACAATTCCCCTTTCTTGGCAACTTGCTCCTTGTGATACTCGTGATACATTCCTTAAGCCACAAACAAGACTATAAATCAGGTACTTATCATTATTTCCAGAACATTGTATACAAATCAGCATTCTTGCTTCCCTCCCCTGATTAAACATTCCTTACGGTTGCTTGAATTCCATGGTTACACTCTTACAACACACTCCAAAAGTTACAACACACTTCAAACGGTTATGAATTCCTATCTTACCTACACATTATATTTTACAAATTTTCTACATTTAATTATTTTCCAACATTTCCACTAATTTTTTCTTAGCCCATGATCTTCACCTTTTGTGCCTCCAATTCTCAACTCCATCCCACCACAGCTTCATGCCATTGCCTCATGTCCTATCACTGGTAACCAGAGACGAGATCAGTGCCTGCTTCTCCATTTCCCCTCGTGAGGAAGCTGTAGGCTGTAATAAGGTCTCCCCTCAGTCTCCTCTTCTTCAGGTTGAACAAGCCAAGTGACCTCAGACACTTCTTGTATAGCTTCCCCTCTAGGCACATCACCTGCTCCAACTGGCTGGTGATGCTGTGCCTGATGCACCTTAGGACACGGTTGGTCCTCCTGACTGCCAGGGCAAACTGCTGACTTAAACTTGTCATCAACTCGGATCCCCAGGTCCCCTTCTACGGTGCTGCTTTCCAGCCTCTCATTCCTCAGTCTGTGCATATATCCAGAGTAGCTCTGTCACTGGTACAGAATCTGGCACTTGTCTTTGTTGAACTTCATATGGTTGGTGGTTGTCCAACCCTCTAATTTGTCTAGGTCTCTCTGCAGGGGCTCTGTATTGGTTTTGCATGGCCTGGTTTTTGGTAGCAGGGGGGCCACAAAGATGGCTCCTGTGAAAAGCTGCTGGAAGCTTCCACCATGTCCAGCAGAGCCAATCTTTGATGGCTTTGAAGATGGACATGCTGCTGGCCAAAACTGGGCCAATGAGAGAGATTGGTAATGCCTCTGTGATGACATATTTAAGAAGGAAATCAAAACAAAGTCATGAGTTTTTGCTTCTAGTCAGAGAAGAGGAGGTGAGAACATGTGAGGGAAAACAACATGGTGACACCAAGGTCAGTGGAGAAAGAGGGAGTGGAGGTGCTCCAGGCACCAAGAAAAGAATTTATTGCTCCCTTATCAGAAGAAACTAACTTCTTCTCACCTCACTCAGCCCTGAAGACACCATCAGGATTAAGAGGAAGAAGTTGACACTGACCAGACAGAATCCTTTGTTTGAATGGAATTTATGCATCATATATGAGTCACGGGTTTTTTTTCTAGTCAGAGAAGAGGAGGTGAGAATATGTGAGGGAAACAACATGGTGAGACCAAGGTCAGTGGAGAAGGAGGGGGAAGAGGTGTTCCAGGTACCAGAGCCGAGATTCCTCTGCAGGCTGTGGTGAAGACTATGGTGAAGCAGGCTGTCCCCCTGCAGCCCATGGGTCCATGGGGGATGCAGAGATCCACCCGCATCCTGTGGGGCAGGTGCCCATGCTGGAGCAGGTGGATGCCTCGAGGAGGCTGTGATCCAGTGGGAGACCCGGTGGAGAGAGGGCCCCTGTTTCCAGGCTGGAACAGCCTGTCCTTGGAGGACTGCACCCCATGAAACGAGAGACCCACATTGCAGCAGTTTTGGGAGGACTGCCCATGGGAGGGACTCATGTTGCAGCAGGTGTGGTATGGCTGCTGCTCGTGAGAGTGGACCCACGTCGGAGAAGTTCGCGGAGAACTGTCTCCCATGGGAGGGACCCCACAGTCTCACAGGGGAAGGACTCCTCCCCCACAGCAGCAGAAGAAAATCTAGGTGATGAACTGACCCAAAAAACCCCCATACCCTGTCTCCCTGTACTGTCAGTTGCAAGGAGGGAATGGCTGGGGGGGAGAAGGGGTTTTAAGGGGTTATTTTAGTTCTCATTATCCTCCTCTGATTCTGTTAGTAATAAATTTACTTTGCAACTTATGTGGAGCCTGTTTTGCTCTGAATTGTTTTCTCCTGGTCCTTATCTCACTCATGAACCCTTCATTATTTTTTTTCCCCTCTCCTCTGCTCAGCTGTAGCAGGGGAGGGTGAGTGAGGGTGAGTGAGCAACTCTCATGGGTGCCTGGCATTGGGCCAGTGTCAAACCACGACAGCCTCTCTCCTTCAAGGTAGTCAAGAGCTCGTCCTAACTTATTATCATCTGCAAACTTAGTATCCCTTAGAGTCCTGCATCCAAGTAATCTATGAAGATGTTGAAGAGCACTGGAGCCCTGTGGAACCCCACTAGTGATCAGCCAGCCTTGTCTTGATTTGAGACAAATAAGGAAACATCCTGAAAGGAGTCTCCTCTAAAAAAGCAGGTTTCAGCACTCCCTCCCCCCACCAGTTCAAAAGGAATCTTGGAGGAAAGGGAAAAAAAATGTTTATTTAACAAGCAGAGTGCACGCAGGCACAAGAAAAATAATAAATAATGTTAGATATTGAAACCTCCCTGTGGAGAAAGCTGGTGGATTCAGAGTTCTTTCTGTAGGTGTGGCTCAGCTCCTCCTGAGGTCTGGAGCTGGGATGCAGAGTCCCAGGGCCTCCCCTCTGGGCCACGGCGTGGGGCTCCCAGCAATTTTCTGGTGTTCAGACCAGGGCAAAGCCGAACAGTTCCAGAAGAAGCAGCCACAGTCTCAGGAAAACTTCTTGCCTCAGCTAACAAACAAGAAGCTAGCTAATAGCAAAGATGTACTCCCTCTATCAGTGCTACACAACACAGCTGAGTGAACCTGGGGGAGGATGTGTGAAAAGCACACCGAAATATTTCCACTGGCTTCCCCTCCCTCTCTCGGACCTAGCTTAAAGTTACAGGACCCATAAAGCAGATGATAGGGGATACAGTATCATAACCACCCCAGGACACTACTCCTCTGCTCTTAGGAGGTGGTGCTTAAAAAGTGACCAGAACTGATGGACCCCAGCACTGATGCCAGAATGATTTTTGCTTTTATATTTCCTTCATATATATTCATAAATCTGTAGACTTGTCCTCGTTTGAGACAGATTTGGAAACTTCCCAAAGGTTCTTTCCTCTAAAGGGCAGAATTCAGCAGCCCCTCCCCCAACCAGTTTGGGAGATAATCTCCTTGGAGAAAAGTGAAAAAAACTGTTTATTTAACAAGCATAGTACTCACAAGCATGAAAAAAAAATATTAAACAATGAAACCTCTTGCTGTTTTGAAGAGATGGCAAATTCAGAAAGTCCTTCTGTAGTTCAGTGAGTCCTCCATGGGTGTGTCTCGGCCTTGCTCAGTCTCTCTCAATCCCTCTGGAGAAGGAACCTGGAGTCCAGGCTGCAGAGCAGCTTGGGGGGGCCCCCCGGGCAATGGTCCTGGTGTTCTGGACCAGAGAGAAGCCAAACATTCCCAGAAGAAAGACACAGTCCTGGGAAAACCTTTCTTGCCATAGCTAACGAGAAAAACCAGTGGAAAAAAAAGCAAAGAAAAACTCCTTGTGTCTCTCTCTCTGCAAAAGCCAAGAACTTGGGGAGCACTGCACTCCTTATCTCTCTGTGTTTTGAATACAAGTTGAGAGAAATTCCACTGCTCCCTTCCCCGCCCCCCCCCCCCCCCCCCCCCCCCCCCCCCCCCCCCCCTT